TTCTTCCCTCAACTCGCGCCACTCCGGTCATCAGCCGCACACTTGCTGAGTGTAGACAGCACGATCCAACCTTCTTGTCCGTTACTATCTCAGTCGGTTTCTCCCGGCTGTAACCTGCTCCGTCCAACACATCATGTATTACCTCTACCTCTCGGCAAACACGAACAACGTATTGGTGAAAAGACTCATCTGACCGCTGCTTGCCTGTCAGCAATGTCTTCCACGCTTTATCCGGAATCTTTCCGAGCAAGGCAAGCAACTCTCACTTTGCTTCCTCGTAATTGTTGCATCCAATACATATCCTCTCCGCTTTGCTACCCGCTAGCGTGATGCGTAATCGCAGCAGCCATTTGCTTTCTTCGAACCCGTTCTTGGAACAGATGTCCTCGAACAGGTCAACATAACGCTCCTGACTGCGTTCCATCATATGAGATGATTTTCATCAACGGTTTACGCCCACCGCTGTGACTGGGAGCTTCCGTTGTACCTCCCATCGCACTCTCACTGGCGACTTTGCCCTCACCCTCATACGCCTTGGCGATGCGCTCCTTAATCTCCTTGAGCTTTTTTCCAAACTCGGTGCAGAGCGCCTCCTCTTGCCGTCTGGCACTGCGCTCCTCACGCTCCTCGTACTGTCGAAGCCTCTGCTCCAAATGTTCCCTCAACTCATCGCCTTCCAATCCTAACCGAACTCCATTGGCGATAAAGCTGGCTTCCAAATGATGTAGTTGCTCTGCCATGCTCGCTCCGTATCCTGGCGTGGTCGCCGACTGTAATGAACCCTCTGGTTCTCTTTAGTATCAGAAACGAACGACCACACGGCACGAGGACAACTATTTATTCTCAACAGTATATTTTGACTTCCATTGAATCTAACTAACACTAATAACACCAGTTTTTTATAGCATGCCAAAACAGTGTACATGTATAATCAAAGCATACACATGTAAAACATGACATGACAGCGTATACAGCAAAACTCACACAGCGCAAATAGCGTACGCAATGCAGCAAACATCAGCAGTACGGCGGAGTCGAGATACAACATCGCAACGAATACAATGTCATAAGCCAGAAGGCATTTCCCACTTGAGAACTGGTGGTTTGTAACACATATAGAAGTATATTGTCTAAGCAAGTGTGTTTTCTCGACATTCTTTTCGCCATGCAGGTATATCACAGTGCTTTGCCAAAATGCATTCTGAAACGCACTCTTTTCTCAATTCTGGGGATGAGTGGACACGCACATCTCGCAGCTCTTGATGACGTCAATGTCAACCGTCGCCACAGCACAACCAAAAAGATACCGATAGGAAGGTATGAAGTCCAGTTCTCATAGCATAAAGAAGACTATGTGGCCAAATAGATAATTATACGGCAGAAAGAGTTATGAGATTGATGACAAGCTCATGTGTGAGGTGGTAGCGGTTGCAAAATGGCAACCTCGATGTTCCTGCCTTGGAGAAGCGCGTTCCCTGCCTAATCCCGGGTGGAAGTCTCCTGAGAAGGCTGAGGTGGTGCAGGATTTGGATATCTTTGCATGATGGTATTCACAACGCAGGCTGGAAGACGACAACAAACGTGCTTGCCCAATTTGCCGTGTACACACAGTGTGTACTGCCTGTGTGCCGCATAGCGTAGAGATCTACAGAAACATAGAATGTCATACGGAGTGTGTATGCTGAGTGCTTGTACACATACCACATTGCTGGACCGTAATAATGATGAGTTATTATGGTATGGTATAATGACTATACTATAGTCAAATACTCATTTACTCTACATATGCGCTGAATTACACCTACCTGTACCTACCTGCACATTCAGTGCGCGCGCCATAATAAATTTTAGTGTCCACTGGTACAAAGATGGAGGTTCTTGCAGACTTTCCCATGATTGATGAATTCTGATTAGGTCACGTTCGATTACCTACTAGTACAAAGATGTCTTGGTCAGAAAGTACAGAATCTGATGTCTTACTCTCCTGCCAGAATTTGTGCATTATTTTGGTGTATGCTTTCTTGACCCCACGCTTGTACGTTGCATGACATGGTATACTAGAGGACGGGTGTATTGACAAAGCCTATTGCGTGAAACGATAAAGTATGGGTTCGGGTGTGATCAAATGCACGCATCGTGCTCATAAACTGTGTGCAGTGCTCTCTTCACCAACAGAACACTACCATACTTTGCAGATCTTGTACCAATCCCAGGGATAATGAAACACAAAATTAATGTGTGCGAGTCACGCATGTAAACATGTGATAACTACTAGCACTATAGTACCACGTTTTTCGTGCCATGCCTGACAACAATAAGTAAGTTGCACGCAAAACATTACGCGCATCGATCCTCACAAGGCCAGTCAGGACATACTCGGAGCAAAGAGAATTTGTTTGTGTCATGCATGAAATTTGTTATAACTACCAGTAAATTTTTTTCTTGTGCGACGCCTACTGTAGTGCACCTGACAACAATAAATTTTCCAAAAAATATTCTCTTATCATATTGATGCGCGATCCTCACAAGACAAGTCAAGACAAACTAATTGAGGCTTACCTAATTTCAGACTCTTCTGTCACTGGCATTGGCGGCTTCTGCATGTCGAGATAACTTCGAAGAGCAGTGGTGGGTACAGCCTAATGCAAGGTTACGATCTCGTAAACTGCGAGGTTCGCTACGCAAGAAACCTTGGGCCGTCTTCTCGACAGCGACGGCAGCATCCTACCAGAAAAATCATTCCCGCGGGCTGGGCATGGCTATACACTTTTGTCCACACTCGCACCAGTTGGAGTCCCAAACGAATCGAGAGTCTGGTGGCCAAGCTATTCGTCTTCTTCTGTCGAACGCAGCTGCTGAGGCATCTTCTTCCTCCACATTTGTTACACGCGATGGCAGCTCCTTAGCAGAGTATCTGGGCTCCCTGTCCCAACCATACGCGGCGGTGGGTTGATGGTGGTCTTCACTGACCTCAGCATCGCTGCTTTCATTGCTGGGTACAAAGAATTGTTCGGAATAGCTCATCTTTCCTTGAAATTTAATACTAAAAGAGTGCACCTAGATCCAGACCGTGCCACAATGACGTAGGCAGGCCGGGATGACATAGCCAAATGGCCGCATGACGTCACGGCGCGGCCCCCGTTTTTGCCAATATCTCAAGAACGCTTTGCCGTAGAGACTTCGGACCAAAACCATTCGAGTAAGCACCCGAGACTACAGGATATGAAAGTTTCATTTTCCGTGGAGTTCCCCTTTAAGTTAAAACATGTTTGCTTGCAATGTCTATGATACGAGTGCGCACTTGATTCTATTCATCGGCATATTATGATTGTTATTTTCACGCTACCAATTTAACCCTTTCAGCCCTGACCGGAAAATCACCTCCCACTGGGCCAAAAATGGCAATTTTTGAAAATGCATATTCTGGTCCAAAATTGATTGGAGATGTTGGGTATGGACATATGCACTGTGAATCCAAAGAAATTTTGTAGGATTTCATTGTACGAGACTCATAATACCATATTTAGATATGCGACTTTCGGCGATTTTTCCTCGAAATTCATTCAATTTAGGCAATTGACGACAAAGATCAGACAAGCAATGGCAAGCAGTGCTATAACTGGTCAGTGTTGACTTCAGAATGGAGAAATGTCATATAACATGCTTGATATGATCCTGGTGTTCTACGGCAACCTAGACTAGAGTACAGCAACTCGTTTTATACGGCGCTTGCATCATATGCGACTTCGCGATCCAGAATGGGTCTTTCTTTTTCTTGGGCGCCTCGTAAAGCTTGAATCCTCCAGCAGCCCTACCTACTTCAAGACAAAACCATATGATGGACAGTGAGGATGCCGAGTAACTGGAGTAGCAACCACAGCAACTGCATCAGCTATAATATAAGCCGGTGCAGTGGCAGCGGTTGCCTCACTGTGCTCGGCACATCCCAGGGTGATTCATCTCTGGCCGCACGCGTATGTACGTACGCGGCACAGGTAAAGTCATATTGATGGAGAATGCAATGCTGCTCATTCTCTGATTTAGACACTCACTGGCAAGACAATCCAGCTATCAAAATAGTCTGAAGCATTCCCTAAACAGCCGAGTGCATACTGCGTACCGGTGTACGTACGCCGCATGAAAATTCAAGAAACAATCGGCTGCGCAATTTCTGATAGTGGTTCAAAATTGCACAATTGTTGACTATTCTGGATTATTCTGGATTCATATTAGATAGCAATCTCCATCCTGTAGGTGCCTGGCTCTGTACTCAACATACAATATTTACATGTATGCACATCTCTATTGTGATCTGCATGCATGTCTGACCAGTACACTTGACTTCAAATTCAAATATTTTCAAAAATCTGACCTTCAAATTTGATCGCAGTTTACTTGAGGAACTTCAGCAAACGGGCTCACGACAGATAGCTCCTGCTCAGAACACCATGCCTAGGTGTCAGAGACTTCAGCATCGCTTTCCAAATCTCTTTGGTCTCCAGCATCCCCTGCGTCCGAGTCAGCTGCGATCTTTTTGAATAGCAGCAAATTCGTAATCCTCAGAAAACGACTCCGACACAATTTCGCTGTCTCCAGAATCATCCTCAGAGTCATTACCCGCCTCACACTGCTTCACAGGACTCCTTCCATCGACACAGAGTAGTTGAGCTACTTACCTTGCCGAGAAACAGCAGGGCAAGATGACGAAAACGAACTTTGAGCAAAACAATTTATTTGAACGATATGCCAAAAATACGCACTCCAAACTCGATGCTCGCGGCTGTTCTGCTGTGCAGACTGGCCACATACGCTGCGTACACGTCGATCAGGGTCTTCAGCCCACTGAGGAACAGTTCCAGGCCCCACTGATGTCGAGGCATCAGTACAAACGCGACGTACACTGAGGACGTATATATACGTCGTCAGTGGGGCAGGTGCACACCTCATGACGTATATATACGTCGACAGTGGTGAAAGGGTTAACTAAAAGTGTGACTTACATTTGACAAGGCAAGAAGATCTGAACCCGTTCGAAGCAGAAATTCTATAACCTCCGGCTTGCCGTGTGCACAGGCTTTGTGCAACGGTGTTTCTTGAACCTGGAGTAGGGAGAGGTGAGAACGTTGAAGATATTTTGTTTTGGGGAAACAACAAGGGAAGGGACAGAGAGACAAGCGACTATATGATTGATCACGGCAAAAGAGAGAGAGAGAGGGAGAGTGAGAGTGAGGAAGGGAGAGAGCTACAATTTAGATAAAAGGCCTGAGTGCCTATGACCAATACAGGTGCACAAGCATCTGCTATGCTGGAACTCATCAACCTTTGTGTACTGGGTGCAGACCAGCAAGAGAAAGGATTTACTAAGAAACAGTATGCAGAAGATGGGGACCTAACAGTTTGTTCAGGTTCTGAACAGAGTACTACTACTAGTAATCAGGAAATGTTATGCGTCAAAAGAGACCATGTCTGAGATTACCAAAGTATGTGCCCTTATGGCTTCACCATAGCAGGGAGGTACTGCCAATTGGTGACTCAGCATATATGGAGGTTCGCGTCCTTGCAATTTAGTCGCATCGGGCCAGGAGGAGGAGGATATGAAAAGCGATCAAAATTCGGGACATGGGCCCGAGAATAAAAGCCAACGCAGGATTGAACCTCCTGTAAAGGCATTCCTGATACAAATTACTGGCCCAGTACTTGCTTCTCTCGGATAGTGAATTATTTGTCTACTTCCATAAACTGCTGTTGCCAGCGCACTCAATTATGTGCACATGTACATATTTATAGAAAGGTAAAAGGACCAAGAAACTACAAGTTACTGTAAATATACAAAATTTCGGCGCTGCAAAATTTTGGCACTTCACGATTTTTGACATTTCGGCGGCGATTTATTTTCGGCGTGGGGTAGAGGGCGTGGTATAGTGCGACAGATGCTGTGAAAAATTTCATCGGCGTTTTTATTTAGGCGTTTTGGGTCGGTGCCGAATATAGCCGAAATTAAATAGCTGCCGAAAATTTGTATATTTACAGTACCCTATAATGGCCACTAACACCATCAGTTACTAAACAATCAGCTCATGCGATAACATTACTAGCCAGTTAGTTGTAGAACGTCAGTGCCGTCGGTCAGTGTCGTGCTATGTTATCGCATGAGCTGATTGTTTAGTAACTGGTGGTGCTAGTGGACATTATAGTGTAACTCGTAGTGTCTTGGCCCTTTTTGCTTTGCATAAATAATCATTGGCTCTCCATCCGAGTTCATAGATGTACATAATACACGCATCATGCTTTTGCTGTACCAGTTTTGTGTTTGTTTCTGATGTTTCCTCAACCTCTTTTTCTCTCTCTCCATAGTTCATGCATGAATGAATATTATCTCTCCACAGCACTGTTCATTATCAAACCTTTCCCAGTGGTGACCATGCCCAAATTCATTCTTGATGTCCTTGTTGCTATTATCATTTCTGATGATTGGTATTTTATGACGGAAACAATTACCGTATTTTTCCGGTTGTAAGTCGACCTTTTACGACTTAAAATAGAAGGAGAAAGCGTGGGGGTCGACTTACAACCGGGATTCGACTTATAACCGGTAACTATCAGAATCTTCGAAAAAATGACCTGCACTGCATGCACGAGTGCACCATGTTTACACATTTTGCCAGTTTATTAGCCTTTTTCAAGGATTGGGACGTTCTATCCTCCAATAAGGAATTTTTACATGATTTGTTGATGTGTTAGTAGCAGGAGGTGGTTAGTAGTGCTTCTTTGGGGGAAAACTTTTTAAAAACGCAGAATTGAGACCTCCAGATACTGTTAATATACAAAATTTCGGCGCTGCAAAATTTCGGCACTTCACGATTTTTGACATTTCGGCGGCGATTTATTTTCGGCGTGGGGTAGAGGGCGCGGTATAGTGCGACAGATGCTGTGAAAATTTTTATCGGCGTTTTAATTTAGGCGTTTTGGGTCGGTGCCGAATAAAGCTGAAATTAAAAAGCTGCCGAAAATTTGTATATTTACAGTAGAAGGGTCGACTTATAACCGGTAAATACGGTTAATATTTTCCTGATATGATTTTGCGTGAGTCTGTGTTGCTCACAATCCACATTCACGGAGCAGTGCCTACATCCTGGAGGTTCACTGGCCACCTTCGCCGATGATACAACGGTCTACACCTGTGTTGGATCACCCGAAATGCTCCCAAACAGTATTAAAGAAAAGCTTACAAGCTACCTTGGATGCGCTCAATGACTGGGGCAAGAAGTGGCGGATCAGGTTTCATCCCACAAAGTCACAGCTCATGACGATAGCCCATCAGCTGCACAGGTGGCCTATCATGGACCTCACGTTTGGAGATCAAACTGTGTCTGAGCTATCGGAGGTAAACCTCCTCGGCATCATATTTGACTTGGGCCTCTCCTTCAAGACCCACCTCTACAACACAGCACTCAAAGCGAATTCCCGCCTTGGCTTCCTGCGCAAAGCTGCTCGCGTACTCGATGGTGCTGGTAAACGAACCATCTGCAGAGGTTTTGTGGGGCCAGTCCTAGAGTATGCGCCATTGGTATGGATGGGAGCCGCTTCAGGCCATCTGCGCCTTCTCGATGGAGTGCAGAGACGCGCCCTCCACATTCTTGGCCCTGATGTCCTCCTCCAGAGTTTGGCAGCAAGGAGATTGGTCGCCACCCTCAGCTATATGTATAAACTGATGTGTCTGGCAGGGCCACCGCAAATAACGTGGAGTGTCTTTCTCCACCAACATGTCCTCAAACTTGATCCGATCACTCGGTGCGCAACGAGTCTCAGCTACAGAACGTCCTCCCGGCTTCCTCTCCTGATTACGTGCGACGCTGCTTTCCCCACAGCATCATTGATGAGTGGAGCAACTTGCCCCCAAATGTGCTGCAGTCCCTGCCACGCCTGACGGCCCTCCAGTCGTTCAAGGGCAAGGTGCATCAGCACCTAAGACAAAGCCGCTGGTATTGGGCTACATACTCGCTGTAACACCCCATACAACATACTCGCTGTAACACCCCATACTACATACTCGCTGTAACACCCCATATATCCACAATAAGCTCATCCCGCTCACTTGTCTATTTACATGTGTTTCGTAATCCCGTCCATGGTGCGCTGGATAGCGCTAACGCCGATACCCTAGGCCGGCGTTGCTAGTCCCGCCTCACCGGCACAGGTTCCCTCTAAGACCCTACTAGTATATTGTCTGTCTTTCCCCTCGGCTGCAGGAAGTAATGCGCGATTGAGGCCTTCCTCCAAGGCCTCTGTTGTCTTCAACATTGCGCCGTCAGTTTCTTTTGCCGCCGCCTTGAGTGTGACCCCTGATGCTTGCTTCTTGCTTCGGCTGTTTCTCAGGCCGTCGGCCAGGTCCTCCAGCCCCAGATGGAGCGAGTAGAGCAGTTGGAATATGCTGCAGCCGTTGTGCCGCCTGTCAACTCCAGCTCTGTTCATGCATTGGGTCATCCGTCACTCTCTGTACCTGATAACCTCTGTGGGGGAATTGAACGCGGCGAGCTTATTGATTTCGACGACCTCCTCCCGGACCATTCATCTTCAACTGGCTGGCAACAGTTATCAACTGGGTCCTTGTCCATGTCGGCTCCTTGCCCGACGTAATGCATTACCTCGATGACTTCCTCGACATCTGCCTACCAAGCTCCTCCTGGGTGGCCAAACACAAGGCCGTCATCTTGGACTTGTTCCAGTTCTTGAACGTACCTGTCGCCACAGAGAAAGTTGAGGGCCCTTCCACTGTCCTCACCTTTCTCGGTTTGGAGCTGGACACCGATCGCTTGGAAGTGCGTCTGCCTCGGTCCAAGCTTCTGGCCCTACGTCGTTTAGTCTCTACCACCCTCGACAAGGGTTGCGTTCTCAAACACGAACTCGCCTCACTCCTGGGCCACCTCTCGTTCACTTCCCGAGCAATTCCTGCTGCCCGTGCATTCTTACGCCGCCTGTAAGACCTCGACAAAGCCACATCTGAGATGTCATCTCACCGAATGCTGCACTCTCAGCCTCAGCCAAGGGCGACCTAATCTGGTGGCACCAGACTCTGTCAACATGGAACGGAAAGTCATTGTTCCTGCTAGAGAAGTGGATGACCTCCAGTTGCAAACCGACGCAAGTGGCACCATTGGATTTGGAGCCTTCTTCAATGGTCGCTGGTTCAGAGGTGACTGGTCTTCACAGCAACTGGAAATAAGCATTACCTACAAGGAGCTCTTCGCCATTGTCGCGGCCTGCGCCACATGGGGGGTCGAGTGGCTGCGGCTGCGTGTGGAGTTTCAGTGCGACAACCAAGCTGCCGTGGAGTGCCTGAAGACGGGCACGAGCCGGTCTCCTGCAGTCATGGCACTCATCCGCACCCTGTACTCAATCTGTGTGATTCACAATTTCCTAGTCCGAGCATCGTACCTGCCAGGCATTTCCAATACCATCGCTGATGCCCTGTGCCGGAACAAGATGGATGCCTTCAGGACCTTTGCTCCTACAACTGCAGAGCGGCCTGAGACCATGGTCCAGCCAATCACTGAGTAAGTGCAAAGAGATTCAATTCATGATTCAATAGGATGCAGATAGCGTTATCTGTGGATCCTTCTCAACAATATCAGTCTGACTTTATTCCTCTAGGACAACGCTCTTGTGCAATACATACTTACGATCTATATGTGCTGTTATCACCCGCTATCTCCTCTGGCCCTAATGGGAATGTCGGCATGGGCACTCCTCCTTAACTGGCCTCTCACGCACTACTATTAAACTCGCATGGGTCATAAACCGCTCCTGCTCAACGCAGGCCGACCCACGAACTCCTCCATTGGTCACAAACCGCTCCTGCTCAGTGCAGGCCAACCCACTTGGTCATATACAGCTCCTGCCCTCGGTAGGCCGACCACACGATTCGTTAACGCGCACCCAATTGAGCTATTCTGCCCGACACTCCCATTCTTCCAAACTCACTCTCTTGTCTTTTGGTGTGTCGCGTCCTGCACGCTTGTGTGTCTACTCTATACTCTAGCATAGGGAGTAGGATGTTAAATGTTCGGTTGACGTAGGAGTTAACCGTTGTTAA